TACAAAAAATATACTTAAAAAATTATTAAAATTAAAATATAGAAATTCAAAAATTTTAAGTGAAAAGATAAAAATATACTTAAAAAATTATTAAAATTAATTTATTTAAATATATAATAATATTATTACAAATAAATTAGAATATATAAAATAAAAATAAAATGACTAAATAATTTAAAATTTGAAAGAATAAAATATCATAAATATTGTTTAAATAAATTATTAAAAGTATAAAATATAAAAAAACTATACCGGTACCCTCTCAAATAAGATGGGTACCATAGAATTTCTCTTCTAAAAATAGTATTTATTCCCTCCTTTTGGCTTTTGCCATGTTTTATTCGATAATGTATAGTGAAAATTAAATGCGCTGGTTTATTCTGTAGTGAACCAGATTGATTTATTTTATTTTTCGGTACATGAATCAGATTGATTATGCACGTTAGTTCTCAAATATCGTATAATAGAAGTATCTTTTTTGTGGGGGAAGCGAAAAAATACTTACGAGGATAGATGCTCATGAGAGAATAACAGCAACTGTTCTAACACAAAAAAGGGTGTTGTGGTTGAGCCTATCAATCTGAAGGAAATCTGTTGATACTTGATATATACGATACGAATAAAAAAGAAGAAAGCTAATTAGGAAAAATGAAAATTGATGGTGAAGATTAAACGTACGCAAGTTTGTGAGAGACAATTTGACGCGTGAATAAGGTTGCTGAAAGAATACCACTAAATTGGATGTATGAAAAGGCTATCATTGAATATTAAATGATACGCTGCCGGAAAAATCCTGACACTTTATGTCAACCTTAATAAGATCCAGCCAAAATGCTGAAAAGCACGGAAGATTGAGGAATAGTATTGTCCATCAATATTCCCATGAGATCGTGGCAGAGACTGATTTATGGTTAATGATGCAAAAGCTAGCAGACAAGCTTCTGCTTTGTGTTCAAGATATCCTGATATAAACCTTCAAATGTGTTCATATTCTCTTTGCTTGTGCTTGTGGTTATTCTAAAATTACACTATTTTGTTATACTCTCAACGATTTCCATGAGACGTTTAACTCGCATTGATATACTTTCAAGAATATTTGGCATGTTCGATGAATTTCAATCATAGCATCCAAACTGGATATTTTCAGGGTGGCATTTGCATAATATTCAAACTCCAAAAGCCAAATCACAATATAAGAAATTGGAGCACATAGCATAAATGCGGGTTAATCTATGAAAATTTCCCATTAAAGTTGTAGGTACATACAATTATACCAACTTTATAAAAAAAAATGAAAAATCTGCAAAGCCCTCAGTATCTCTCTACCAAAGAGTCAAAAATAATGGTAGCATAAACTTAATCCCTATAGTTCTGTGTTAGATCTATTACTTTTATGTTGTCAAATTCTGGGTCTTGATCGTTTATGTATTTTATTGTCATTTATCTGCAAAATTTTAGAGGCTCTGATTATCAGGTTCAAGCTGATGGTGGAACCCTCCTTTCCAATTCTGGCAATCTGATTGCTCATCTTCTGCATCCACACTGTTCCTTCCAGGGCTTGAGAGACCCTTAACAGACCCTCCAAGGAGTAGAGGTGTAAGAGGACCTTGTGGAGAACCAGTCTGTGACACTGACAAGTTTCCCTTTGATTTTTCCCCACATTCATCTTGCCCCATCCATGAGCCATTATTACCCTGCCCAACTGAAGAAACTGGGAATCTCCTAACATGAAGCCTGTACTTCTGCACAAACCACAGATCCATATAAGTCGTTAACAACTAAAAAAAATGTCAAGATGCAGAAAATAATTAGTAGTGATAATTAATAATCACGGATGGTCTTTTTGAGTGAATCCAGGATATTCCAGCCACAAACCAAAGACTAACTGATGGACACTAACATTCATTTAAGAGATTAATAGTATGTTCTTTAATTATGGGTGCTCTAATCTGATCAAATAACAAAACAAAATGAAAAAAACATAACACTCACTTGCAAATGACTTTTCACTTCATCATTTGTCAGGCCATCCACCTGCATCAGTTCTCTAATTTGTTTAGGGGTGGCCACTGCAAAACAAAATAAACCAATTACGTACAGATTGATCTCACACACAGGACAAGACCCAAAGTTTCAGTTTCAAATAGGAGAAGCAAAAAAACCCTAAGAAATTCTCTTAATTAAGGACCACCCCCAACCAATGATGTGGTAAACTAAGATTTGAATCCTTGCAAAAAGTGATGTTCACATTTAGTGTTTCTATCTCAACCAGATTGTTATCTTCCGACTTTTAAGGAAGATACATGTGTAAAAATAAATAAATAAATAAATAAAATAAAATCCAATTTATAGAGAAAGAATGAATTAGACTCACCTTGTGCTCCACCAAGTTGTTGAAGCGCGTCAACAAAACGGCGGTGAAGGTCCGGCGACCAGCAGCGCCTTTGCTTCCTAGGATTCTGCTGCATATGTTGCGGCGGTTGTGGCTGACTCTGTAACTCAACACGGAGCAAAGAGGAGCCACCACTGTTATCTCCGCAAACACTCTTGGAATTGCTATGACTCGGTTCAGACGCAGGAGTCACCAAATTAAACCTCGGAACTTGCGAACCCTCCGTCTTCGGCACACACGAATCGCCATTAACTGGGTTACCATCATCCTCTTCATCAATCCTCTGCCATTGCAAACCAAAAAACAAAAACACAGTTCTGGTCTCAATCCTATAAAATAAATGAAAATCGAGAATAGTACAATTAGAAATTAGAATTACCGATTTGGTTTTGTGAGTGCTCCAGAGCTGCGCTGAGCTCATCCAATTCTTCTTCTCAGTGCTTTCGTTTTCATTTTCCAGTGGCGGAAACTCTTCTTGATTGATAGGTGGATCTTGATCTTGCATTCCGGAACACTTAACTTTTTCCTCCCTCAACCTCGCTATAGCTGCATAGCCAGAAAAAAAAAAGAGCGTTTATTAAAAAAGAAACGCAAGGCAGAGAGAGAGAGAGAGAGAGAGAGAGAGAGAAAGGCACCGTCGTTTAGGAGGAGCATGGAGAGAGGAAGCTCGCGTTTGAAGGCCTGGACCTTGGTCAACTCGTCTTCCAATCTTTGGACGAAGGCGTCGAGCGTGGCGAGTGTTTGGTGGTTATCTAGTTTGGTAGGGAAAAAGAGGGAAATGGGTTGGGGAACGAAGCCCAGAGTGAGGTCCAAGCTGAGGTCCATGGTGGTGATTGTGTGCGGCGCTAAGTGGCAAAGTACCATACCCTGAATTGAGGTGATAAGGAAGGGAAGAAGATAGAGATTCGTTTATATATAAGGAAAGAGAAATTCAGATTCAGGACAAAAAGATTCGCCTTCGCATTCGCATTCGCATTCGCCTCGTCGCGTCTTTCTCCCCCTCGCCCACTGTTACACTCATTATTAGCTAATAAAAATCAGCGCAATACTTGTGCCATTGGTTAAGCTTTTCAAAATATGTCACTACAATTTTAATTAAAAAATTAAAATTAAAATTAAACAATCATTCTTTAAGGTTCAATCGGTGTCTACTGTACACCGATTCCATAGCAGATAATCACTTTGAACTCATTTCAAAAGTAAATAAAAAATAAAAAATACTTAAATATAAGAAAATTCTAAGGGGCTTAATTCTATTTAATATTATTTTTAAAAAAATACTTCTTAAATTAAATGTAACTGCTATTATTATTAAAAGTAGTTTAGAAAGTGAAGTTTTGTTTTTAAATGAAATCAATAAAATTAAATGAATTTAACTAATTTTTTAATATGTGTGAATTAAAGTATTTTTGCTTAGATATGAATTTAATAAGAGTATTGTAGTACATGTTTTTTCTATTCTGTTTGAGTTTTAGTAAAAAAAGATTATTGTATTTTGATTTTTATTTTATAATCAATTTTTATATATAAAATATGAATAATTATTTTACGTGAGAACATTTTTAAGAAACTTTTTTTTACAAGAGAATTTTTAAAGATTCTTTAACTTCATATTTTACTTGTCAAAATTATTTATTAATTAAATTTTAAAATTTATAAATAAATAAAAATATTATTATTTTATAAGAAAAAATATTTATTATAAATCTAAAATATAGTTTATATATTTAAAATGTCTGTTTATTTAAATTTTATATAAAAAATTTATGTGCAAATATAATATTTTATTTATTACACAATTTAGCTTAAATTTAATTATACATAATAAAAATTTAAGTTGTGAAATACTAGTATTAATGAAGTATTAAATGTATTCTTAATTGTTTATTGCAAAGTTGTAAAATATAAAAAGAAGTGTAAATGAGTGAATCTTATAGATAAGTATAAACGAGAGAATCTAATTAATATAAGAGATAAAAAATATTAATTATATTCCTTAATACATGTTAAAAATCTTAAACTTGAAATAAAACTATAAACAAAAAAATATATTTTAATGGTCTGTTAAATTCTTATTTAACTTTTGAATTAACAAACTGATTACTTGGTTAGTGCTTAAGAAACTAACTAAAGAATCAAAAACATATAAAAAAAAGTACATATTAAAAATTGAAACACTATATATAGAGAGGATGGATCCATTTATTCTATGAGTAACTTTACATATACTTAACCCCAAGCGTCCCCAAGCGTGTGGTTCAGCGGTAGGGGTTGATCCACGCTTAAGCAAGGTCAGGGGTTCGAATCCTGCCTTGTGTATGCAGCCGCGTTAAATCTTGGGGCCAGCTATCCCACCCTTTGAGGTGCCTCCAACGTAGCGAGGAGATTAGTCACTGCTGTCGGCGGTGGATACTCCAGGAACAAACCAAAAAAAAACTTTACATATACTTACTTCGTTTAATAATTCATGTTCTACATCAAATTTCAACGAGCTAATCATTAAATTTAAAGTTTTTAATGTATAGATTAAGTCTATAAATTTTTTAAAAATTTAAAAATTATTTAATATTTCATTTCATTAATTTAAATTGATAAATAATCATAAAATTATTTCATACATTGATTTAAATTAATAAAATGAAGTATCAAATGATTTTCAAATTTTTTAAAAATTTGCATATTTGATCTTATGCATTAAAGCTTTTAAATTTAATAGATCATTGAAATTTGATATAAAACACGAGTTATTGAACGAAATAGGTTTAAGTAGACTTACTCCTGGAGTAAATATATCCCTCCTTATATAACATAGATCATATATCAAACGACACCGGTGTAACTTTTACTAAGTATTACACCGCTCAATAACTTTATATTAAATGTAAATTTTGAAAATTCAATCGTTAAATTGAAAGTTCATATATCATAGATCATATATACAAATTTTATATTAATCAAAGATGATTTAATACTTCATTCTTATAAAATAAAATTGATGTAATATATTCATTTTAAAATATACAAAAATATGAACACTTTAATTACCTTCAAGTTGTTATTTAATTTTAATAAAATTTGATACACACATATAAAGTGATATAAACTTTCAATCTAACGGCTGAATTTATAAAATTTATTTTTAATATAAAATTATTAAACGGTGTAATACTTAATAAAAATTACACCCAGTATAATTATAACCCTCCTTATATATATATATATATATGATTATAATAGTCACGATACGACCATTTAGTAAATTTCCCGGGAGTTATTGACTTATTGGTCCTGTCCAATTCTTTTTACTTCTATAAAAGAAACATTTATTAAAATTGATTTTTAGATATCTCAAACATTATTCAAAAAGAGAAAAATATACATAAATATAACCAATGATATTGCTTGATAAAAGAAAAAACTCAGAGGTGTTTGACCCGTGTTTAAAAAAAATGTCAACATTTATATTGGTGACAAGAGAGTGTCCGGAAAGTAAAAAATAAAAATAAATAAATAAATAAAAGTCGAGTAAAATTGAATTTTGATGAAAAAAAAAAAGTTGTGTTGCGTTGTGTCCATATGGGAATCTTTGGATTCCGTACTTAACGCGGCGAAAATGCAATTTATTTATTAATGTTGTGTGAAAATGTATTTTGGGTTGGTGTGCTTTTTACGAAGATTCTTTGTTTGGTTGGCTACACTGAGTTGTGATTGTGCTGTTGAAAGCGAGGTATGGTTGACCTGACATATATCTGTTGCATTCATCAAAAGTAGGGGCACTCCGGTCTTTCCGTCTATCGCACCACATCCATGACCCTCACTCTTCTCTCGTGTTTCGCATGATTATATTCTCATTTTTTATTCTTAAATTATTACTACTTTCTTCTATTTTTTGTGATATTTTCATCGCAGATATACTATTTTATGACAAGAAAATACTTACTTCAATATAAAAGCCAGCCACAATGTCGTTTTTACCGCACCCAATGTTTGACAGGACTTTTCTTCTTCCATCTTGAATAGGTCGTTTTGGTTGAAAATATGTTCCAATGGTGGGAGAGAAGACCCTTGTGTTGGCAAAGGAATGCACCAAGGTTGGAGGAGGAACATGGTTAAAAGCCTAAGTCAATTCGTAATCTAGCAACATAATATAGTAAGGTAAAAAGGGATGTGTCTATCTATACTTAAGTGACGTTTTGAGGGTATTTATAAGTTGAATAAAGCAATTATTAAAATGATATGTGGTTGTTATCCACATGATCAGTTATAGAACATGTCCCCATATACAAGATTGTTACGTTTTTCATGATAAATCCATTTTTGAGTAATCAAATATGTATTAATGCAAATCAATTTATGCTTAGCGTCAATTTTGTTTGAAGTTACTATGGATATAATAATTGAAAATTATCATGAAGTATAGTAAAAAAAAATTATCTTTAATATAATAATCATGAATTCTATTGAAATGTTTTATATATTTTTATTAAGACTCTAACTCGATTTTATAAAATTAATTTATAAAATGATAATTATTATTATATATATTAATCTTATCTTTAATTAGTATATGGTCTCTTATATACTTTCTTTATATTACAAAATGGATATCTCGAATATGAAATTTATAGAATAAATATATGTAAATAATTTAATAATGATTAAATAGTAAGTGACACAATAAAATAAATAAATACATTTTATATGTATGTTTAAGATATTAAAATATATTTATTTTTATTAAATAGTTTTTATATAAAGAAAAATAGTAGTGGTACGAGCATATATAATTATTCTTTTTAGTAACATACTCTTATCGCTTCGTTAAAAGATTTTGATTACCTCTCAGCCCAAGTTACTACAATAATTCCCCCTTCAATGCAACTTTTATCTGAGTTTTTATTTTTTTAAGAACTTTCAATCAGATGTTAAGATCTATTTTGTGAAGGAAATTGTTAAAATTCATTAATGTAACTATTAAAATAAATTTTTAAATATGTCTTTAATTTTTGAAAAGTATATAATTTTGATTTTAATTTTAATTTTTTTTCATTCTTCAAAAATTATAAATTATTTTTAATATTAATTATAACAAAATTATTTTTAAGTGTTTATTTGTTTATTAAAAAGTTAAGTAATCATCTAAATATTATTCACAATTGTTAATAATGTCATGTTAGTATGACATCTAAAAAAAAACTTTATAAGTCATTAAAATAAATAATATTTAAATATTTTAAAATTATTCTTATGAAAAGAATAGTGATTTTAGATTTTAAATAGACAAAAGTTAAAGAAAAATATTTTATAAAGACCAGAGCTAAAATTTATTTATTATACAAAGACAGAAAATATTTTTTATATATAACAACCAAAATCAATGTTTACAAATTTTAGAAAATGAAAAAATAAATAAATTTTTAATAAAAACCAAAGTCAAAACTCTCATTTTATATAGACTAAAAATATATTTAAGTCTAAAGTAAAAGTAATGGTGAAAATAAAGAGTCATTAATTAATCAGAGGATATTGATATGAAATTTTAACACAAAATGAAATTTTAAAGTATAATAAATGTGTGTTCTTCAATATGATTTGAGGTTCAAATAACAAATTTATTTTTGAGATTACTTAATTTTGAGTTTGAATTCCAGCAAAACCATTTACGGGATGTATTAGATTGAGATTTCATAAGACTTTTTTTAGTACAAACAAAGTTTTGTCAATTTTAAAAAACTTTATAAGAATTTAATGACTTTTAAATTTTTCTTAAAATACTTTAAGATTTTATTTAAAAAAAAAACTTTTTTAATTCAGATTTTATAAAATGGATTTGAATGAATTTATATCTCAAGAATTTATAAGATTTTAAATGATATCATTAATATCATTATTATGCATTTGTAAAAATAATACATTTTTTAAAATAATGAGATTAATGACAAGGTTTAAATAAAAAATAAAATCAATAATATTTTTAATCTTTTAATAAATAGTTATGATTTCATGTCATCTTAAGTAACATTCATTT